TGCTAATTCAGGGATAGTGGTGTTTGAATCCACTACCGGGCACGTTTCTGAAACAGGCAGCACCGGACTACTGGGCTGATCATGTAGGACTGTTACTGCTGCATCTAAATTACTGTTTTTCGCGGATTCATAGAGGCTTTCCTCTGCATATTCATTTGTTCTGTAATCGACTTCCAGTTCTATGCGCAATTTAGAAATCAATGCGTCAACTTCCGTTGCACCCCCAAAGCATGGGTGATTCAGCAGCGTCGCGTGTAACTTGTCAATGAAATCCAACTGACTCTTTTTAAAACGCTGCTCTTGTCTCTGAATTAGCAACTGAAATTGATCGGAAGTTAAAGCCATTTTTTTACCCCGTCGTCAGTTGTTATATCGTATGGACTCGTAATATATATGAACGTGCAATTGGAGATGTTAGTGGATTTTACTGATCGGATGCAAATGATACTTGAAATACGTACGAGCAGTCTCGATTGCTGTATTTTTTTCCAGAATCCCCGTCGAAAACTGTATACTTTTTTCTTTTGCGTACCAAAATCCCCGTCGCCACTGTTATAACGTATGGCCTGAGCAGTCTTGGGTGCTATTCGGTCCTTCCTATCTGCCTAGCCCAGCCCGTTAAGTCCAGAACACAAATAACAGCCTCGGCAATATGAATCATTATTTACAAACATACTGAGTTTTTATACAAAGCAAAGTAATCAATAAACTGATTATAACTCAAGAATCGTATGATCATAAATCAAAGATCAAAATAATAGAAAACACGAATATGAATAATTTAGTTACGTAACAACTGTACAATAAGAAATAGTCATAATACATTGGTCCATAAATAGTCCTTAGAGTTATCATTCATAATTCACCAGGGGATATAACAATTAAAAATTACATTGTATAAATAGCCGTTTTGTAGTGAACGAGAACACAAGTGGGGACCATCGAATGTAATTGAACACAAAATTACAGAATCTCTTAGTAAAATCTGAGAAACATACAGTGAATACTTCGTTTGCAAAATACCAATCAATCGTCTCAGACTTCACCGTTCCTTCATTTCCATAGCAACCATTCTCTTTTCTTCGATCTTAACCTTTCACTGCCAGGTATTACATTTTCGATCGATGATACATACAACTTATATCTATTGACATCACTAGAACACACCACAGTTTATAATATTCATATATATACTTAGAAAAGTATGTGTATAAGTCAATTTGGTGAGTAATATTAAAATCATTAGTATTTCAAACTGTCGGTTAATCTAATGATTAATTTTGATTATGTTATATATTTACATAGATCAATATCATATTATAGGCGTACACTTGGTTAGGTAAACAATAATGATGAAACTTATTTATCAAAAGCCACCCACGATTTAATTACTTATTTTGATTGATTATTATTGAATAGTGAAAATAGCACATATCGATTTCAATTGTTTGTTTTCTTACAGTAAGCGTAGTTATTGATATGTTTGTAGTGACCGGCTTGTCTCGACTAGAACACGAATAATAGAAACAATTATTATTATAGTAACCAATTGTAGTAGCGATTGTTTTACTGTACTTGTTTAACTGTATCAAACTCACTTCTTGTTCCTCTATCCGCTTGTTTGGTTCGAACTTTCGTACGCTCTGCCCATTTTGCCTGTATTCGTTGACACGTCTCGGTATTCTTTCGATACTACGAGATCGCCAATAAATACACCTTATCTGGACTAATTAAAGTCTTCTGGTTTGCGAGTTATCGAAGGGACCAAGTCGTTTCTGGGAGCGTATTCGAATTGTAGTGGTGATCATAGTCCATCCTCGTCTCGACGCCACCACATGTTTATAAAATTTGATAAACAAAAAAATATTACTATCAATATTTTTTTAATTTCATGAAATTTTGGTGGTATTTTCTTAAAATGGAAATGTTTTACATTCGTGAACTTGACTGTATTCGAAGCTAATCTTCAAGTTTTATGCAGTTTGGAGTTTCAGATAAATTTGGAATGGTTTATCTCAAATTCTTTTTTTATTTTAGCCGTTTTTTTCGGAATAGAACATATCATTAAGTTGTAACTCAAATTTAGGCAATATAGCTGAGAATAATCCACATATTTGAAGCTTCCAAAAATTGCTTAAAATCATGGAGAATAGCGGAGATGAGTTCGTTGTTTGTCTTTCCCCATACTTTAGGTTTCTTTTTATCTACATCTAATCTTTCCTGCTACTAACGATACCGTTACTACTTTAAGTGCTATGGAATTCGTCTTGACAATTCTATCTCTCTGTGTTAGGTTAGAGAATTTCGGTCGACAGCCTATGCTTCTACGAGGAGTAACAGGCGTAAGTAAGTAAGTGCTAATATGGTGTGCCAATTTGAACAGATGCAAATGTGTCAGGTTCTAGATTTTCTATTACTGATTGATATTGGGGGGGGGAGGTGTAATATTTATTGGGGGCTGTTAGATATTAGACAACTATTTCTTCCACATTTGGAAAACTTCAATTGTTTACTCATTCCATCACACTGAATTTAACGCCTGAGTTTTGGGTCTCGCTACAAACGGCAAGCCATTGAATCAGAACCCAAGATTACTTTTCTCACTGCCAAACCTCAAATTCCTTGGTTCAACCCAGCCAAGGTGTCGTGGATGTTAATTAATGATTAGTCCAAAATAATTCAATGTTCCATCGTTTTCAGTAGATCTATAGCTGATGTCAGTTTTCTATGAAAACCGAATTTCACTTATTAAATATATTTAGTGTTCAGAGCAATGTGAAAGGGGGATGAGAATTGTCGAGCTTAAACAGTATAGTATCATGCGACTTATTCATTTTTCATCTGAAATATTATCTTTTGAAGTTTATAAATTTGATTTAAATGAATCGACCAATTTTCACTGATAGTTGAAATTCATTCTTCGTATTGCTCGTTATTTTTTAATTTTCAAAGTATCCTTATCAGAAACATTAATTATTTCGAACTAAATCAGATACACCGATGTATTACAATAACGAGTTTTTAACCAGTTTGCAGACCGTCGCTAATATGCAATTTTTGGACTCCAGACAAAAATATTGAGAGGAAAGACAAAAGAGACCTCGATTGCATGGTTATTTTGGTTACAAAGCTCATGAAACACGTATTTGGTTATCAATAACACCGTTATTTTAAAAGTCTGTAAGAAAAATGCCTAATTAGTTGTAATCTAGGTGTTTGAAACAGTTACATTAAAGAAAGATATTAATAGTTTCGCTTCTAGATTCGGCTGAAAATCTGCCAAATGACTTAATCATAGATATTGTGTTATGTTCCTGCTGCCCTGTTGTTAACAAGATAAAATCCAGATGTGCTCAGTGCAAGCCCTAATCTGTTTGGTTCATTTTAAACCAATCAGATCTAGACAACGGATCCGGAAGTCTCTAATCTAAATTCTACAAAAGGTGTATTCGTTTTTTCAGCTTATTTGTGTCAAGCGAAGCGTAGTGCTAAAACATACTAATCAGGGAAAATTATTACACTGGGCTACTTAAGAACGTGTGCAGACATTTTCAACAGGTATCCTCACACCATATTGTTACAAGTTCGTTCTTTATAAGGTTTTGTGGTGTGGGTTATTTATGTCCACATAAGTAGTATATAATGATGAGCGGGCGCTGAATGTATTTCAGTAGATCGACAACGAAAGAACGGGAACGAAACGCAATTGGTATAAAAATGCATGAACAATAATAATCGGAAATGATGGACTGATATTTGCAGAAGGAACGGTCAAGATTAAGACAATTGATTGTTTGCAAATTAACTGTTTACTGTATGGTTGTCAAATTTTAGTGAGATATTCAGTAATTTTGTGCTCCAATAAATTCGATTGTTCCTGCTCGTGATCTTGTTCACTACAGTTTCATATAAACCAGTCTCATTTTGAAATATGCCTATGACTAGTTGTCAGGACATGTTACGTAACTATGATCGTATGTGTATTTAAAACCAGAATTTCCCTGTATGATAATTACAAGAAGCCATTGAGCTAATGAGAAATAATTCCATTAATCCAATCCTCAAAAGAGATATGCGAAATTCCGGAACAATTTAAATTGGAAATAAGTAAAGGTCCTCAATGAAACCATCAGGTGATAGTCCGGCTGTTTGCCAAACCAAAGAAAAACTGTTGTGTTTGAGATGAAACCTCAGTCATAATTTTTTCCTTCCTTTTTAACCGGAGATTTAGTTACTTGTGAGTCGCTTGAAACCACGACGACACAAATCTTCGGTTATCTCTTCTCCTTAATGATTATCCAGATATATGAGAATAATTTGAAAAGTTATCATCTCTAGATATATGAGAATACCTTAAAGTAATTATCACCTCTACGAATTACGTAATTGAATCAAATTAATACTAGAATTATGAATATATGTTTCAGCTCAACTGTATCAGCAGACTGTAATGTCAACCACGCTTGTACATTTCTGCTTTCAAATGTTTTGTACAGTGAATATATATTTTAAGGTTTCTTTGCTCATTGTCACATGTTGATTTCAAAGTTTTGAAATAAAGAGTAACAAACATTTATTCTTATTATGCTCCATGAATTTCCAGCGTTATCCCTCTGCAGTTTCTATGTGAACCAACTAATTATGGCCTTTCTTCTTTCAAACTCTACAACCAATCAGTTAGCAGCCTTCATGTTTCTTTCAAATTAATTGATCAGAATATTTAACTCCAGTGAGTTCCTAAACATAACATATTCCTCCATTGGTTCCTCATACTACTGCAACTGGTTGGCACTAACTTTTGCATCCCATTATAAAAGCCTTGGCTTCCTAGTAAAACTCTACGAAGGTATGGTATCGTCCCAGCTTGAAAATAAACAGTTTGCAACAAAATAGCAAATAATCATTTTTAAACGATTACCAATTATTTCACACAAATCGAATACATTTACCAGGTACAAAAACATGAAACATGGTACTACAATACAAACTCCGATTAATTTTTAATATAAATAATCTGAGTACTGACGACTTTTCAATAATTCGTTATGTTTACGAGCTTCATAGAAAAATTGTGGAGTTTTAATTGTGTACCTTTAAAAAAATGATACAAATGTTTATAAAAAGGGCATCAAGTTAAAATATCAATTATATATTAATATTTCAACATTAAAATGTCTGTATTTGAGCAGAGAAATCTTTATTCCCAATTAGTTGACCAACTCTGCTTGAAGCTACCGCTGGTCCCAAGTCCGAATAAAGGAGGAGGGTTGGGCATGGAGTTAGCGACGCCATCCCGTAGAAAACTAATTCGCTAAAAAAACTCTAACCAGAAAAGTAATTCTAACCATTTAAACTCTGCTCTGGGAGTTAGAAGGTCTTCATTTAGAAGAGTTATGACGCCTCATGATGAAAGCCGAGTTCCCTCGGAAGTCACGAGGCTGATGCCTTTTTTGACAACTAGAGCAACAATTAATTTAGGTTCAAGTAATGTAAGTTCACCATCATGGTTCTACCTACATTAATACAACTGTGGCTTAGGACTTGGAGATAAAATCAGTATCAGTCAAGTCAGGTGTTAAACTTTTTGTCAGCAATCTGGACCAATCTACATACGCATTAGATCCTACGTTGTCTATAATTGAGTGTTGAATTTAAAAATAGATGAAAGGACTTATAATGAATTACTTAATTTATGGTTGATATTATCTCCATTTTGTAGACCTATTTTAATGAAAATAAAGCACTTACTTAACCAATATCTTATTTGTCAGTTATAGCCTATTTAATTAAGCATTATTGTAAAGATAACAGTTTAATAACACCGACTTTCTTAATTCATATGATCTGTCTTTTTATTTTTCAGAATATTCAATGCTTACACGTGTTAAGATTTACAGAACCTTGTAGCATTTTGGTTAACTAAATAACTGATTGATTGCGTGACTCAGTCGAGAAAACTAATTAACGGTTGATGTTTCCATTGTATCTGCCTTGATTTGTAACATTAGTTTCATTTAGGGTGGGTAAATGAAAGTCTCAGGTTGGTTTTATAGTGACTCACAAGACACTCTAGCTTACTATATGGATCTAGTCAGCCAGTTTATTAATGAAGATTAATTGTCAATTTAATAATTTCCCTTATTTAAGATGCATACCATTTAGGTAGTGGTTTTCTTATTTTTTCCAACATATCTAATTTCTCTGCTTGCATTAGCATTTTCTCTTCTAATTTCAGACGTTTTAAGCGTGCTTCCATTAGATTTTGATGTACTGGAGAAATGAATAAACTATGATGATTCGACAAAGACTTCGAACTGGGATCTGAAAATTCGACAAAAGAAGGGAATTTATAAAAACTAACAAAGAAGGAATACTACTTTTTATCTAAGTCAGTGGTACAGTTGATAATCACTATTCACTTAGTTTTCGAAATTCATAATTAGATTTTGTGCACAGTTAGAGAATGAAGAACTGACCGGACTCGAAAGTGATATGAAGAATAAAGGTCAAACATAACGATCGTGTCTGTGTTTTATTGACTGGTGAATGAACTACAAAACATGTCGACTGTAATCAACTACGTTTTGAATTGACTTGAATTATATTTATCGTTTTTTAAATTTCATTAATTTCTTATTGTTGATATTCAGGACTCCAAATGATCAGTTTCTGTGGTCATATGCGGGTCCTGAGAAGATTTCATTGAGAGGGAGTTATGCAACACGCTTTTATTATGTTTGGTCACTGGCAGTGGAATTCAGGAAGCTGTTTGGTCTTGTTTAGATTTGTCAGGTGTTTGTAGGAAAGGGTACCGGGTTCAAGTCTAAGTGAAAACATCAATAATGAAATACAGGAACGTCCTCCTCATGATTCACTCAGTTGAACGAAATATGCTTCCTGAATTATATTCCTAGCCACATATAAAATATACTAAAATTTGTCAAATACTTTGTAAATGTATTGTTTTGCATGAACGAAATAACTTTTATGGCTAATTTCTAGTTTTTGATATTATTTTATTTAAGCATACGAAAATTTAAGATTTCTGTTTATAAACTAAAGTCCTGTCATCATAAACAAAGATGGATGGTGGCTAGCAGTGGAATCCAGGACACACGTCTAGCACTATTTGGGAGTCGTCAGTCGAATGTACCTGCATCCCATAGTTGATGTTCACTCCGGGACTTGAACTCTGTAACATATGCTCCAAACGCCATTGAGTTATTCAGTTAGCTACTGAGTCCAGATAGCCACTAGCATGTGTAATAGGGTAAAAGGGATAACGCAGTGACGTTTGAAGCTAACGTTGCTGGGTTTAAGTTCCAGAGTGAACATCAACTCTGGGATACAGGTACATCCGACTGATGAGTCCCAAATAGGACTAAACGTGTGAGTTGGACTCTACTGCTAGACACCATCCACCCCTGCTTATAATGCTTGTTACCCAATGGAAATGATGCAATCTGTGCAGGATGCACATATGTCAATAAGAGACTTGTTAATCGGATTCTTAAACATCAATGGAAATGTTCAAACAAACAATACTAAAATAAACCAAAGTCCCATCAATTTCGTATTGCCTTGGTGACTTTAGTTTTTAAGATTTGGTTACGAAATGTCATATTTTTTCAACGCAATAGAAGATTTCTTTGTTCCTAGCTTCCTATAAGAGATCTGCTCATTTCACTTTGACAGTTGGTCTTCTAAGTACTTGGAACTACGCAAATTATGACAATAACTTCTCCATTTCCTGAAAGATCTTGCATTCATGGCCTTTTCAGTTCATCCAAATAGAATATTAACATACCAAATAAATAAACGATCCTATGGTTGATTGGTAAAATTGTCCCATGTTTATTACATTTCACTATTCTACCATTATGTTACTTCCAGCCTCGACTTATTCTTTATATGAAGGTGGTATAAAGTATGTTCAATCCTTTTATCAGATAATTGACGCTATTATTTCTAGGAAATTGTATTAAATAAATGGATATAAGGAGCAAATCAATCGCTCTTGTGAGTAGTTGTTATTCAACACACCCGGTATTGGATTTTATTCCATAATCCACATCTGTGAGCTGCCCTTCATTGATGGCATTGCAATGTAGTCCACCGTAACAACTTCCGTGTAATGGTGACAGTCTTCTCAGGTACACTTCGATATCAAAGAAGTTTCCATTAGGTTCTCCTAACCACGCTATCAAATGCTTTCTTACAGTCACCTTGGATACCACCAGGTCGTGATCTAAAGCTCTATCAGCCCCCCCTCTTTCTTCTTCTTCATGTCTTCCATTGACAATCCGAACTTTTTATTGATGCAGTTGTGATCGATCTGGTTCTCTGTAATCTGATCCGGAGAGAGGCATGTAACTTTGTGTATGCATTTGTGGGGGAGATATTGTGTCGCTTACAACCATTTTTAAGGGCACTTAGATTTGTAAATCTCTCACCATTCTCGTTCCTTTCTCCCAGTCCTTATCTTCCCGTAATATCTTTATACCCGGTATTTTTCATTCCGACCTGAACATCTAGGTCTCTCATCAGGGTGGTCAGGTCCTTTCCTAAGAGACTTCGTACGATTGGTCGCAGCCTCTCATAAGATGGATCTTCACAGTCTGCGTTGCTATCATTGGTAGGAGATAGAACTGCATAACATTCATTGCAATCCCCCACTTCTTTGTCTTGAAGAATGCTTTGGTGATTCTGGATCCATGAGACCCCCACCATATAAGTGCTTCTCTTGCTTCGTTTAACAGGATGGGCGCAACCCACTGTGTGTAAGAAGCGTTTTCTTCTTTACAACCAGAGTACAACAACAACTCTTCCGAGCCTTATCTTTTCTGTCCAGCAGGCGTCTAATGGGTTTCACTTATCACGAGCACCGCCAGTTCATATTTTTCCATTCTCGCAAATATTCTGTTGGTTCTAACGGTCTCCTACATTGTGCGAGCATTCAACATATTTATGTTAATTGTTGTTGTGGTATTCAATAAGAGCATTGTTCTTGTGATTGTTGAAGAATAGGGGGTTTCAACATGAGGCGTCATAACTCTTCCAAACAAAGACCCTCCAACTCCCAGAACATAGTTCAAACTGTTCAAATGACTTTTTTGAGGTTAGCGTTTTTCAGCAAATTTGTGTTTCTACAGAATGGGGTTGGTAATCTCATCTTTAACCCTCCTTCTTTATATGGGCTCAAAACTGGTAGTAACCCTAGAGTGACTCCAGAAGGACTTTTTACACGTTAAACAAATCTATTTTTGTTTGACAACAAAGAAAATTTGACCATAAAACATGTCATTTGTAATCCATGTAATTATTTTATGAATAATTCTTAACTTATTCCATTGTATCATATTTTTATGTACATGTGACTGTTTATACCTGTGTGAGCATATTATCTTTGAGCTATAATATAAATTCGTACAAAGGTCTATACATTGATTAGACTGATGAGTTGAATCCGCATACATCTCACTGTGCATTCATTCATTTCCTTTATCGGTAGTTTGTCTGGTGAACATGTTTACATAGAAAATATGTCTCTTCCCAAAACATTTCTTGCACCAATTCTAATGTCATGTTATCAAAGAGTGTGTTACACAATGGGATAGGTTTAATAAATGTAAATAAAACTAGTCGACGAGCCATAAACTCTGAGGATAGGTGCATTTACGTATTGGAGACCCCTCTGAGAAAACATAATGCAACTTTTTATAATATCCATTCATGTTACAAACGAGATGTCTTATTCTCGTATACTTGAAATCCATGCCTATCAATACCCAATTTATGAAAAAAATGTCGTGAAAACTATGATAATTGAAGTTTTATAAAGTTGAACCATAATTTGTTATTTATCAGAATCCTACGAAATAGGTAGTAATAAGACAAAGCTTAAATATTAGCTAGTGAAATCGATGGATTACCAGAGGGGGAAAGAGCGAAGGAGAAAAATGGAATATAGAATTTATGGAGATGTTTTACAGTGTTAAAGCTTTTGGTGGAGATTTTTTCTTTGAGCTGGGTGGTTCGGTCGCGGAGCTTTCATTGTTCTTCTGAACAACATTATCAGCATAAACTTGAGATAGAAGTGTTAAAGTATGTGTAAGTTCTAAATATCTATACTTGACGAGTTGCATCCAGGTGGTTGGGATCGCATCCATAAAAAATACTGTTAATAGTGAAAATATAGGACTAAGTGGGCTACAGTCGGCTATTTCTAATGAACTTATCACTGTTAGTTGTTAAATAAAAGGTGTAGAGTGACAGTCTGTTGTTTGAATCACTCTGATTTGTTAGAAGAATTCTGTGAATTCAAGTCATTGCTTTTTTAACACTACTGATCATGTTCAGTTTTACATTTTATGCTGATAAAAATGAAGTTCTTATTTTTTGTCTTAAAGTCATATCAGTTAAATAAGCTTTAAATACCAATGTATACGACATGGACATTTCATACTAGTCTATGGCTCGTCATCATATAACTCACTCAAGGTCGAAATCTAGGTATTCAGGTCACTTGATGACATCATACTTACAAACTACTGAGTTAGAATTCAACGGTTTAAATTTGTTCTTCAGTCAGTATGCAGTATGATGCCATTCACATCGAATGTCATCGGTACGTTATCTCCTCAAATTCTATTTAAATAAACAGGGATAATTTTGTATAAAACTCTTACTACTTGCATAATTACTGAGTAGTCTTATTTGAATGGTACATTTAACTTACTTAGATTATCTAATAATTGTTTGACTGATGCTTTTAAATATCCTAAACTTGTTGGTGGGTTATCTTTTGGATGATAACGCCTGATTGAAGTTGTCTTTCGAGGTTGATATAGTTTACCACTTTCATCTATTACACATTCAAAATCAGCCTTATCAACGGCTTGACGATAAACAGTTGTTGCCATTACTGGTGCTTCTTCAGCCAATACACATTGCCATGGATAAAAATCATCACCAGGTCGTTTAACAATACCGAAAGCAGGTGGTGAAAATGTATAAAATCGTTTGCTGATCAACATGTTCACCACATTCATAGTATCCTCATTCAGATAATTAAAAACAATACAGAATTGCTATAAATTTTGTATGGGAATTTGAGTATTATCTTTATATGTTTATTAACAAAACTAGATCTTAAGATGGTTATGTATATCCTCCTTTACAAAATGTCACGCAGTTGTATCTTGCTTAAAGATCTATAAGTACATGGCTTGTAAAATTTTAATATATTCCTTGTTAGTTGAATACCTACCTATCTAGAACTAGGAGCCTCAGCTGTGACAGATTTCTAACCCATTCCTAGTTAGAACTAAATGTCTAAACCAAAAATCAAGCAAGGCAACTTTCAAACTAATTGGTAAAATTCATAAATTTAAATGACTCTGCTTTGAATATCCCTTTTGGGCTTCTAGATCACTGATTTTGTTTTCGGAGGCTCACACAATTCTGGTTTATCTGAAATGTAGAGAACGTTTCCTAAGTTCACCGGTGATGTTTGTTCTACTTTTAAAATGGTCACCGTTCTTCATTAGGACATTAGAAGTTCCTCTCAAAGTTATTCACTAGTGAGCACACATATGTTAGTAAGACGTAACATGTTTGGAAGTTGTTTAAGATAGAAACAGTCTTAACAATCAGCGCCCCTGGTTTTCAATAGTTTTCCCACTGAAATTAGTATGTAAAGAAAATTAGGTACCTTAATTATATATTTGTATTTTGTGATTTTATGTTTTATGTTGTAGTCTAACAGTTTTAACGTATAAGAGAATTAGTTGTAAATGAATTGTTGATATACAAACAGGAAGTAAATACCTTTTCGGTACATGTATTATAGCGTAAGTGATATAATAAAGGATGATTTATAATTTTTATTCCGATTCCAATTCATGAGTCTAAAATTTTTCTTTGACAGTTGAAAGATTATTAACTTGTGTTATTTCAGAATCGGTCACAATGGCACAAATGTATTCATGTTTCGTCTTCTCGTAGATCCTGAGTTTCAAAATCTTCTTACACCCTTTTTGTATGACTAACTGTCACTACTACTGTTACTGATACTGATACTACAGCTATTGCTCTGAAGTTCACCTTAACGATCTCAGTTTTCCGTGATAATGGGTGAAATTGGACGTTGAGTATAACTGATTGGCCTACTTGTGTCATTCGGAATCTCATGAGAACCACCAGTCACACCTAATATTGGATCCATATCTCGTTAAAAAGTACAAACTACGTGTAAGCCTAGTTTCAGATTTTCTTGCCGATTATAACGAACCACCCAAATGTCTGACAGATATTCTAAATTTTGATCCGAGCGGGGAGCATTTGAAGTCAATAATAACTTGCTTTATTACGTTATGTTTCTTTCTATCTAATACCAAACTTCAAAATATTTATAGGAGAACTGTAAAAAAATAACCGTGCTTGATACACACTAAAGTTTCGTTAAAAATCATCTACAATAATATATTAGCGGAAGGGGAATACGTTATAGAAGAGTTAGGATAACTTCATACTTGACTTATAGCATTGTGAATACACATCTGAAAGTATTTCATCTAATTGGTTATAAGGATTTGATAATTATCGTTGACGTCTAGTTTATGGAGAAACAAATGGATTCCGACTCATACTACAACCTTGATAAATCATCAAAATTAATGGTATTCAAATGTTGTGTACAAACAAAAATACGAAGGAAACAACGAAATCTGAGTACGTAAAATTTATTTAAAAGCAAGAAAATACTTTTTGGACAGAACTAATAGTTCCCGTATAAAACCATTTTATCAGTTTTCTATAATTTATCCTACGGTTTGTTAAATAACATCTTCAATAAATCGAGGTCGAAGAATATTTGTAAAGTGGTGAAAATTCTTGAAAATAAAAATAAGTAATACCTGAAATCGACTCAAAAACTTATTGCTATAACTGTCATTCATAATTGATTTGTTAGCACAATTCTGTGACCAGATACAAATTTTAGTGTTCAGATTTCAGCCGATCTTTATTATGCCAAGACTGTTGATGATGATACACTGCTCTGACAGCTGAAAGTCTAGTGTTCTGAGAAAAAGCTGCCTTCTTATCAAACTTTACAAAAAATAAGGTGCAAAGAGTCCGGTGTTTTGCCGAATAAACTTTTACTTTTAGTTGTAAAAATATATTGGATTCTGGAACACAGTAAACTAAGTTACACGTCATTCAACTTTTAATATTTTAAAATGGTCAGTAATAAGTTCTATAACTATTGTCCATGCTCTTCAATACATTTTGGAAAAAAGCTTTTGATGTTGATGGAGTCACTGTTTTCCCCAAGGTCTTATATCACGCTTTCCGCTTTCGATATAAAGTTTCATACCAATAATATAATCAACATCACTCACTTGTGTACATAGTTAAGTGAAAAAAGTTTGCACTACACTTTTGTGACATCTAGAAATACCGGATAAATTTAAAATTTTGGTCACTTGATGATTACAGGACACTTGGTGGCTAGTTTAAAGTGTGCATGTTTGCTTTGAGTACATTTTTATGCTTCCTCCGGGTTTCAATTCGCGTCCAAATAAAATCACATGATATTCTAACAAATCCTCATTTATATTCTTCATCTTATTGTTTCAACAGTTCAACTACATCAATCTTTAGCTTCGATCTAATACATCTTAAGAAGATGTTCAATCAAAACATTCTAAGGTTCAAACACGCCAGGTGAATAGTGAAATTACGTTAAGAAAGCAATTAACATTCAAATTATGTTATTAGATCTTATAACATCAAAACATTCGGCAGAAAAACTTAACAATTAAAATTTTGATGTGAAAGCACGTATGTCAAATGGACAATTCCTATGAACTCGGATAATTTCAAAGAGTACTGAGAACTAAAACTTTAAAACACTTTTGCATTATGGCTTCAAAACTCGTAGAAAGCAAACCTTTAGAACCTTATGTGTGTTTATAAACAATTAACCTCTCTAAATGATATACTTATAAAATATCAAGTAATACCGAAGAAGATCATTATTTGACTATTACTTTTGTTCTTCGAGCACTATTCCGTAATTTCTAGGTATAAATAATATTTAAAACTTTGTTTTAACTAACGTTTAATTGAACATTAGCATACTTACGTTTGTCATATCACCCAAAGTGACGGGATAACAAATTTCTCGCAGAGTGTTACTCCCGTCATTTTTTGGCGGACATAGATTTCCAGATGAAACAGACCAGTTATCTAGAATCCTTGACAAGTAGTCAACGTTGTTTAGGTCATTCATGATGACTTCTAGATTGTCAAACATAATTATTAATAGCAGTAAAATAAATGTAATTTTCTATAAAACAAATTTACAATCTATTGGTTTTCATTAGCTGTTTGACTGTTGTTCGCTATAAAAGTCGACATGAAGGCTTTCTTTATACTTTAGATAGCTTCTTATTTGACCGTTTTGCGTGCCTGAGAGATTTTTCCCCCAAAATTGTGAAAAGGTCTCATCTAAAAATAATCAACTCATGTATTTTACAGATGGATGTGGAATTTATTTACTGTATATGAACACTAGATTAGCATAGAGGTTTGACGGATATTGTTAAATTTTCATTTCTTAGACCACGGATTAATCTCAGCTATATTACCATTTAACACCAAGAAGCAATAGACGAGTTTTTCGTCCTAATGCGGGAATCCACAGTAGAGCGCATCTGTTACCAGTAGGCAATAAACGATGGTCGCATAATAAAGCGAATTGATTGAAATTAAACATATGTGCTATTGGATTCAGGGTCAGTAGTCTACAGACTAACCGTTCACTGAAGATCATGGATTCAAATAGGTTAAAAGAGGCAAGAGTGTATACATCAACGCATGGAAATTGTTGACTGGTTAAGTGTCCGAAAATCAAGGGAGCAGCTCTAAATCCGTGAATAGTTAAGACAATAGTTGATGAAATAAATTTTGGAAAAAAAGGAAAGTCATAATTTTGTATGTTGTAAATGGTCGTATCATTTTTGAAACTGTACATTCAGTGAAACCAATACCGATTATCATACAAAAATAAACTTGAAATATATGTATATATTAGTAAATATAATTATATGCACATATTTATTCAAATCTAAGTATTTATGCGATGTATAACAGAAAATACTAACAGATGGATTTTACGTTCATAATCATTTATTACTGACAACCTTACTTAAAGATAACTTTTTCAGGATACGTCTTATTATCGTGATAATAACACATATGTGTCTTTATGCATCAACCCTTATTGCATGACGATTTTCATCCGAATGAATACAGCATTAAGGTCCGAGTAGTATGCAACAAGGAAACAACAGAAATTTTTAAAAAAATACCTGACGTACAACATACCAACTTAACTACATGCGCGACATTCACTAAGTTATTTATAAATTAAAACACGTACAGTCACCACTTAATATTCGTTTTAGTTGCAGGAGTAACGAAATCACCAATCAAAACTTATGAATTATTTATTAAGAAAAACTAATGAAAATTATTTTTGAGTTCCCTCAGACCACTCCAGCGTCCAATAATTCCGTCTCTACCTTGCATTAAAACTATTGATTTCTTCGCACTCGCTTCTTGTTGTTTCGGTACCGTTCCAGGTATTTCGGAATGTCCGATGGGTGGTAGATTCGCCACTTGAATGCACTTATTCTAGTCTGTTTGGTAGATCCTTGTAAGTTTTTCTATATTGCAGTTCAGTGAATGTGTTCGTCTTAAATCAGTAAGATTTCTAGGTACCAACAGCTATCACATTACCAGACCGGAGGTTGATTGATTGCAATGTGACAATTTGTGTGCTAGAAGGTTGTAGTGCTTGTACGAACTATTTATTCCCTTGTACGTGATCGCCCTCTGGCCACGAGATCCAAATGTAGTGCATTCATTTGTGCTCATCTAGTTCTACCTGACTTGAATTCAGTTGTGAAGTCTACATGTTCCGTCGTATCAAATAAGTGAATAACATGGCTTCGCCAAGACAAATAAACCGATGCAGTAACAATGCTTATACCACGTTCACGTTCATCTGATAAGTAGTCAGTCACAGTATCTCCACGATCTACCACGTCGAGATGATGTATACGTCGAGCATAATAAAGCACGGGTTCCGTAGTAATCGTTTTACCAGCGTCCACGTGAGCAATTAACCAACATTTCGTATTGTTGCGATAGATGGATCATTAACTGAAATTTTCGCTTTAGGATTGCTAACTATATGTTACACATGGTGGTAGCGCTCATAGTCATATTAAAGATTCAGCAAATCGAACCACTTAGATGAGGGTAAAACACGCAGATTCCTGCGAATCAGCATTTTCTAGTATTGTTGAGCATGCAACAAATCACAAGAGTAAAACCGTGACGGTTGCACTATTTTTAGCACGTACATTCGAATACCTCTAACCATCATAGAGATATTACTTCAAGAAACAAATAAACAGAATAACTAGTTGGTAATGCAAACAGCGTGAAAAGACTCAATTGAGAGAACAAGAGGGTTGCGGAGATGATAGTCAGAGAGGTATGAAGTAGTCACTAGTGTGTGGTAATGATAACAATGCGTAAATTATGAGTCATGCATCAGAAACAGCTAGTCCGGGAAGTAGATGTTAATCCATATAATAATAATAATAATAATTTATTCTCAATTAACAGATTGTTACATGAGGCATGCGGGTTTACAGGCATGATCAAATTGTTAAAGAAGTTACAATTTTCACTGTTGAAAATTACTCAGCTGGGTTGATATTTCATAAGATATGAATGTAAATGGATTTCGTAAGAAACACATCAATATCACACTTGGCGCACTTTATGGATGTAGCGTTGCAACATATAACTGATGGTCGAGAATAGATACATGCGAAGTTGGATGCTTTTAGAAGTTTCGAACTTATATCCCTCCGGAATATCTGAGGCTTTAATAACGGTGTAGGACGAAGTCACCTGTGCGATATGTGAGTACATGTTTGTCAAGTCTGTTAAAGCTATCCACAGAGAGGTTGTGGTAACTTCGTTTGTGAGAGCTTGACAAACAAGATGAAATTCATAGTAGGAAGAGTCAGAGCGCAAAGAGTTATGGTCTAGTACTATTTTAATAATAAAGCTAATCTTAAAATTGCAGATTTGCCACGATATAACTACCTAATCGAAGATAACTTACGTGGACGACACATCATTATCTATTCTGACTTGTCTCATTACAGTGGGCAATCTAATGTTTGGAGTTTCTAAAGGACACATTTAAGCTGGAGATAAATCAATATATTTGATATGAATAAAAGCGATAAAAGTGACCATGACAGCAAGGCTGAGTCACGCCATCACATTTAGTGAATGAGTCTTCCCGCGTTCACCATTGTTGACTTGCCTTTATAGTGAAATTTCGAAAGTGCATCTACTGATAAACTATTTGTTCAGCTTCGGAGAGAATGTGGTTACACAACAGTATCACAACAAGCTCGTATTTTGGCCATTAGCTTAGCTGAAATACATCCCCGCCTCTCTGTTTCCATTTCTGTTATCTTTAATTCGATTTTCATAAACTTCAGCTGTCGGGAATTCGATTTCTGATTGATTTGACATACTTCTAATATCTGTCGACATGAGCAGTAATCACTTGTGGTGTTTGTGTGAACTAATGATTCCTTTTTATTTGGTGTCTGCCTGATTTTGAATTCCAACTGCAGTACGCTTGTTAGTGGTTACTTAGTTTTATTTAGCCTTAATTCCGAATTAGTGAGATCCTAGTCACATTTCTGATGTTATGGTATCAGATATTGGATATTCTCACAACCGGTCTTCTTCTGTCAAGCATTTTACTTCCGATTGATTTTACATACTACTTATATTTGTGAACACGAGTAGCGTACACCCCGTACGAAAAGATTCCTTCGTGGAGACCGTTCTTGTAGGTCAGGGTCACTGTTTGGTCTGTCGAAAGCGTACGGTGTCTCTATTAAACCAGCATCTCCGCCTTCTGGGTGTATGCCTACTCTGAGGTACATTATGTTGGATAGCATTCTGAATGATGGACCTCATTAACATTCTTCAGTTGTCCACTGTTAGCCTTCACCACTCTCATGAGTATATTCCTTCAATCAAGCAATTTGTTTCATTCGCAATTACTCAATTCCAGCATGATTTTTTTCACCTCGAATAATTCTCTACTGTGTGGTATTACGGCTTTGAAATGACTGTGAATGTAAATCGTCTCTTTTTTGTACGCCTTATCGTACCGTGAAGTATCATATCATACAAGCTAAGTTCTACAACCGTGATGTCGGTCAATCACCATATTCCGGTGAGAAGTATTTTCATCAGCTTTACCTGAATGCCCATAATTCTGGTTTTCCCTGTTTTACCTCTTAATCCTCTTACATTGTTACAAAAGCACCTGATGGTTTGTTTCACAATCTGCTACACTTCTAAGGTGACATCTGTCTTCTGGTTTTCAATCAGGTTGTTGTTTAAATTGTGTTGACCAGTTCTGACCAACAAGGAGATGCGTTTTTTAAGCTTTTTGTTCTTATCCTGCTGATTTCGATCGACTTTCACAATATTTGATGTTACTGAGGAGATATTTTTTATAGCTATAGCAGTGTCTCAGTTTAGTCCTGTCTAATGTTCACAGCCTTCAGATGTGGAGACCTAACCATCATGAGGTGTAACGGAAGAGGCATCCTGGGCACACTAATTATCCTAGTGATATGAATGCATATGTTGTGTGGTGGTCAACGCAACCCTGCATATCGTGTTCGTGGGCTTCATCGCCACTACCACCTACTGGGTAGGTCGATAACTACAGTACAGTAGTGGAAAAGTGGGTATCTACGGCTCTTGGTGAAAGATAAACGAGGACATGTTAGACTCGGAGACGGAGCGAACGTATGAAACATTTCTATTTGTTATTTCACCAAACTTCCCAGTCCTTGCGATGTCCTAAACATGTGACGGATATCCAAGGCTTGAGAACGCTTAAATAACTTAACACCTTCATTACAGAGGATCCTAAATCCCCTCAAACCAGAAGTCGATAATGAAGGACTTCAAATATATATTTGGATGACAGTCGATGTGTCGAGAAGCATGTGTGCTAAGCTGGCTAGTTGTTGTGAGGGATACGCAGAGTGGTGTACTCAGTCGTATTCAGATGTAGACAGGTGAACGAGCACTTTCAGATGGTGTGTGTCAAGTAAAAATTTTACGATCATAATCATTGTCGGAGACTTGCAGAACCATTCGCCCTGGAGGCTTATTTACCCACACTGTTCAAAAGTAAGTAGTCTAACCACTTGACTGCACTAGTTCTAGTCAGTTTGATAGTTATTTACATGTGTTAATATCCCGTAATATGAGTGAATTTGTTTGTCCTAGGACAGTGGAGTCTCTGGAATCAGTTGATGATACATCTTCAAGCAGAAGATCGGTTGGTTGGTTTGGGACAACTCGAATAACAACAAAATAATCAGTCTTATGCTGAAGGAAACGGTTTTTTGAGAAAACTCAACAAGTCACGAGGTAAGTTGATTATTCAGCAGACTAGAAGGCGCACGAATAGAATAGAAAAAAAGATGACTGTAAGCGAGATAAGAGTAGGTTGTGATACATAATAGTGATAAATGTGGCCAAGTTGTGAGACATGCACATAGCTTATCTAGTCCAAGCCGGAGGTGACAGTGTATGCGTGAGAACAACGAGCCTCCCATTGATGCTACTTCTGTAGAGGCTATAGTCACTTCTGCTGGCTAATTCGTTTGTGATTATGTAAACTATGATTGTGCTATGATCCCTGTCGGTTTCTGCATATGGAATCCTTGAACTATAAGCAGGTCATATATATTGACTGTTTGAATCTTTCTACTGATGTTAAGGTTGGCAAACGTCAAGTCTCTTTGTGCATATGTGTATTTTAAGTAAATTATCCTTATACTGCCACTGGGTCTTAAGCTGGATATATCTTTATCGAAGAGAACAAAACGCGCGTTCAGGACGATACTACTGTCCACCATCGCTCTCTGCATGGAGGCTAGTTATTTGTTTTCAGAATTTCCTCTCCTCATCCTATCTCCTAGAGTCACTCAAATGTTCTTTTAGTTTCAAAATTCTGATATCTGCAAGACACTGCTTATAGAACAATCCTGTAAGGTTTATATCATGCATACTGAGACTGAGAGACGGAGTATTGAAGTTTTCGGCTAGTAGCATCAGATGAAACCACATATATGGTGGTTGTAACATAACCTGGCTTGTTAAAACTTTATAAAAGTAAGCACATGTGGGGGCGGATATATTCTTCAAACCAAGTATCTAGTACCATTTGTGTCGGAGCTGCATCAGTACGAATATACCGCCTTTGTTGGTTCGGGACTGAATCTCTGAAGTGGGTGTTAGATGTATCTCTATACTTTCTGTGTTGTACGTTTTAAGACATCAAAAAAGTATCATGCCTAGGATGTTTACGTCGTAGTTCACGATGTCAGGGGCAAGCCACATTTCAGTTGGAACTATGATTTTAAGACTCAACTCAAAGTCAATATTCCTGATCTCTCCTAATCTAACCATGTAGTTTCCATACACCGCTCTAAAGTCACCTGATGATTTATCTCATCGCCTGGTTGTCTTTGAACAGCATATATTCGCAAGGTTTTGAAAGAAAATCAATCATCATCGTTGATATCTTAGAAGACATGAGGATTTTACAGTTATTGGTGCCGTTTGAAGTCGTCATTGCGAGGTGTATTTAACGTGTAATGACGTTTCGCTCCAAATTCACTTTGGTCTATACTTAGTATATGGCCAATAGACGATAGCACTCATTCTCATGATAAATCATACATACGGACTTTTTATAGCCAAGAAGTAATAATTCAGTCTAAATGTCTAAAGCGACTGAAAAGTAAGCTTGAATATCAGTTTCCTTTTTTTAATTTAATGTTTGATGGGTTCGAAAAGTGTGACTGAAGTAGATTGATCATCAAGCGTTACCCCTAGCTAAAATGACGTTCCAGCTGAGGTTAACACAAACTTTCAGTGGTTAGCTTCAAGAGGGGACTTAATTAATTCACACAATCATCCATGGATTACCATACACAACCGGATTATTCGTATATAATGTGTTTTCTGTAAACTGTCTACCATTACCATTATCACATACAGTTAACCTTTTTTATTTCTTGAAGTAATATCTCTATGATGGTTAGAGGTATTCGAATGTACGTGCTAAAAATAGTGCAACCGTCACGGTTTTACTCTTGTGATTTGTTGCATGCTCAACAATACTAGAAAATGCTGATTCGCAGGAATCTGCGTGTTTTACCCTCATCTAAGTGGTTCGATTTGCTGAATCTTTAATATGACTATGAGCGCTACCACCATGTGTAACATATAGTTAGCAATCCTAAAGCGAAAATTTCAGTTAATGATCCATCTATCGCAACAATACGAAATGTTGGTTAATTGCTCACGTGGACGCTGGTAAAACGATTACTACGGAACCCGTGCTTTATTATGCTCGACGTATACATCATCTCGACGTGGTAGATCGTGGAGATACTGTGACTGACTACTTATCAGATGAACGTGAACGTGGTATAAGCATTGTTACTGCATCGGTTTATTTGTCTTGGCGAAGCCATGTTATTCACTTATTTGATACGACGGAACATGTAGACTACACAACTGAATTCAAGTCAGGTAGAACTAGATGAGCACAAATGAATGCACTACATTTGGATCTCGTGGCCAGAGGGCGATCACGTACAAGGGAATAAATAGTTCGTACAAGCACTACAACCTTCTAGCACACAAATTGTCACATTGCAATCAATCAACCTCCGGTCTGGTAATGTGATAGCTGTTGGTACCTAGAAATCTTACTGATTTAAGACGAACACATTCACTGAACTGCAATATAGAAAAACTTACAAGGATCTACCAAACAGACTAGAATAAGTGCATTCAAGTGGCGAATCTACCACCCATCGGACATTCCGAAATACCTGGAACGGTACCGAAACAACAAGAAGCGAGTGCGAAGAAATCAATAGATTTGTGTTGATTCGCGACAAGTATTTTTATTTCTGGGAATATATTGGGAAATAATGGATGTTATATTTATGGACCGCGTTCGTTGAATTTGTGCGTAACGTCACATGTTTATTTTAGATACAGTATATTGTATATTTATGTATTAAAGTGACAATTGCTGTTTGTGATGTATTTTGTACGTCACCTAGATTGTTCCAAAATCCGCTTGCGACATATTTGACCTACTTTCGAGAGGAGTGTACACAATTGTGTATATTTTAGTATAGTTCATAAACTACTCCAAGCGTTACATTCTGTAAGGACGGTCCACACGCCTAGATAGCATTTTGGCGTTATAGCTGTTGTTGGTTCTTGATGAAAACTCCAACGTTAATTCCCGAAATCACTTTGACTGATAAGTTCTCATGGTTGTCAGCCTAGTATACTTTTGTTTAAGAATCTGTTTCTCAGTGATTTTTTTCTTGCCTGAGCGGTGGGCTTTACTAACATTTATCGATTTGGTTAAAATTTTTGCATTGATCTGTTAAAGACTGTATGTTACTATTCTTCATACCACTATCTAGGTTTCGTCCTTCTGAATTAATACGGTAATGAATGTAGAAAATTCACAATTTGTGGAATGTGCTTTAGTTAGTGACGATCGGTTATGTGCTATATGCTCAAAAAATGAGTTCAAATACAAGTGTCCGAAATGTGAAGTAAAAACTTGTAGTCTTTCGTGCTGTAATGATCATAAAGCACAGTTCGATTGTACGGGCATCTGTGATACTATTACCTATTGTCGGAAAAAAAATTATTCAACGTTTCTTTTTCAGAAAGACTATAGATTACTAGAGGAAATAGACAGAAGAAATGCTTATAGAGAAAAACAACTTTTGTCGGTAAGCAATCACTTCTATGTCTTATCGTTTTCTAGTTAATATTTTCATTTAAGCTCACATATCCCCCATCTTTTTCCAATTGGTGTCAAAGTTCTGTTGCTAACTTGATTTTGTGTTCACTTGGACGTATTCCGTTATTAAAACGGACCAAAAATACCAACCTTAGTAGTGAATTACCAGGTTTGTCTAACATGTAGCATTAGCAGCTTCTGTCGATACGTTCAAAGCATATCTATCAGGTGTGTATATTAATGTGATTATCTGCGGAGGCATTGCATTTTCAAGGTCCTATCCTCTCAAAGCTAATTTATGCTAGTCATCGATTCGTTGCAAAGCTAGCTGTCAAATTTATCAATAAAATCACTCAGTCATTCGCAACCCAGAATCTGGTATGCATGTGTATCCGTTGAAGCTGCCATACCCCATCGGCATAGAAAGATGAAATTGTCAAAACAGGTCCCTGAATAGTAGAGCTATTGACAATATGAGTGTTGATAGAAGAAATTAGGGAAATGTAAACTAGTGAAATAAAAACAAGTTATGGAGAATTCAGAAGCCTAGAATGGGGGGGGGAACTAAGACTGGACGCACCTGCACCATTGCGGACGATTTCGGGCCATATCATTCCAGTTCTCTAACCACTGGTTATGATAATCATGCGGACCAAAACCAGTTAGTTTACATCTATTAACATTAGCTCGTTCCATTTGTCAATGACTTAGCGGACTGATGCTATGTCTTGGTTTAGTCACTTGTATCTTTCAATCCACTCCTACTCCAGATAACATACCCGTAGAGGTAGACAGCGGTTCGGCGTAGGTAATAGATGTCCCAACTGTCTCAGTTGATAAAAATGCGCTACTTCAGTCAATTTGCCTTCCTTACATAGTGCCCTATTCCTAACTCAGGCATTGCTCACTCGGTAGTCCCGAAACACAAGGACAACGCTTCGAAGACACCTGTGATCGAGATTCCATCAGATACCAAAATATCAGGATTGATGAGACTCCAAATATAAATGGAGGGGTCGATGCGTTCAACTAATTCACGCCCCATAATTAATTCAGACGTTGATGCAAGCCAATCCTGAATAATTATCTTGCATTTGGAGGGAAATAACCGCCACCTAAACGTGCTTTCATCGTTAGTTAGGGTAACTAAAAGACTAGTTTGTCAGGGTTTTTACTAAACAGAACTATATCATTGCATTCTACATCAACGAGTGAATCTCCCGGCAGAGAAATTAACCCTAAAAAGCCAGATAGCGAAAGTGTTATCTCTGAAATCGTGTCTATGACAAAGTCCTTGAATTCTCTCTAACATCTCGGTTGATCTAATTGCCAAAACTGGACCGCTACCTTCAAAAACTAAAGGACTCAGTAGACCAGCCCCTGGTTCTACCCCTCGCCCTCTCAACCTCACTAAGAGTTAGAGAACTTAACTCAATTTCCCATTCAAATTGCTTGGAAATGGCAGGTAGCTGAAGTGCGGTTGAAGGCCTGTTGAACTGTCCCCTAAATTGTTCTACCCATCGATCCAATCTTTCCGATTGAAAGTGAAATACAGCCATGTCTTTTCCTGAGATATTTTCACTAACAACCGAATTTCGAATACCCGTTTTCTTGCCACAGCTTTTCTATATCCGGTTAAATGCGGACAAAAATACGCTGGAATTAGAGCGTAGTCCGAGTCTAAATATGTGCTCCAGAATGATCAACAGTTTTCTATCAAACCCACTCAGCGATGGTTCGCGGCAATGTGATCTTTTCGGGTCCATTTTCAAGTCGATTTCGTGGGTTTTCACGTTAGACGATGCTTTTCCTTGTACTTAATGTTGCTGCTTGCATAGTGGCAGCATACGGTCGCCATCATCTGTTTGCTGAGACACGACATCGTAAGATCCGCCCCAAGTGCCTTTAGGTTTGGTCCAGTTTACCTACTTAAGCATAAAATCACCCGCCACTATTACCAAATCAGATCGTCTGACTTTGGGAAGCTTCCCGCAAAATTCGTCTTTTACTTCATCCGAACTGCAATTAGTGGAATCGTGAGCAGAGATAACGAAGAGAGCTTGATATATTCTTATCTTTCTGAGTTGACTATTCTGCTTAGTCAGACAGCGTACAAGCGACTGTCTGCTGGAATCCAGTCTGACAGAGCCTATTCTGCTTTTAATTTGGTGATATATCTAAGCCAGTTAGACCATGACAAGTGGCAGTGCTTATTTATTTATTTATTTGAACACATAAATATTGATACGAAGGGGTGCCCAAACTAAAGCAGATGGTTTTCTTAGGGGGCCACACCCGGAGCCTTTGACATAGAGGCCTGATCCACAAGACAGTGGAGCATCGTAAGAAGATGCAGCCCCATGGTAACCGGTGACCAAAGATAGGTTCATACGTCATTTATTCCCTCAGGATACTGGAGCCCATGTGCACCATTTGTTTGAAATAAGGGTTTTCCAACTCCCCTAGGTGATCTTTCCGTGTCCAATAACCCGATTAAAGCGCCGGACATTCACTTTTTGTCCTCTCAATTTCGTAAACAACAGTAATTTCACGAGAAGACAGTTAGTAAGACTTTTCTGTCAGAGGCTATATACGCGTGGCCATATGAGAGCATTTGGAGAGGGAGAGCGCACTCTCTCCACTCTCGTCCGTACCAGGGCATTTGGGGGCAGTGCTAGTTCTTTTTGTTAACAATGTGAAGTCAAATGAATGACTATACTTGGATTCTGTATGGGCATTTCGGAGCTGTAGCATACTTTGATGACTCGAGATTCTAAAGTCCCAGCTAAAGAAGGCTGTTGTCCTATCTGACACTAAGTTCAAACAACAAAAGTTTAGAACGTAATTTGGAGAGACTAGGAATAACATTTCTTAAACTCAAATCATTAGCATTATTAGCGTGTGGTGATAAAGATATGCCAGAAAGGTTAGTCGTTGGGACATGAGAATTATTGAGGGAGGGATTTGATCGTGAACAAGATGATCTCGGTTGCTGTTATTAGAGGTATAAGAGCGGTTGTCATCTCCCTGCTGCCCAAACTTTGGGACGATACTTCTCAAGAGGCTTGGTTAACGCTGGTCTTAGGGGCCTGGGAGCGTGTCCGCAGAAACCAAGAAACAACTGCTTGAGGCCGGACACGCACTTCCGTTTTATAAGAAGGTCCTGATTTGTTAGTCCCGCATTTCAAAAGGCCTTACCGCCGGAAACAGAAATCAGTGGGTGAGTCGTGATATTTTTGGTTTTGACTTTTTTACCCCTTCCTTCAGTTGTGAGACAGTATCACTGCAGATGCTGGATGTCCGAGCTGAACACCTTAGCGTCGTCACACTCCTCCACAGTCAGCAGTACGACTTCGTGTTCGGACTTTTCTGCTTTCAGTCGTACCGTCCTCCAACTGAGCTATCTGGGATAGTAAGACCTAAAGGAACATGTGTTCCAGCCAATACAGTTCAGCTGAGCCATCACGACAGATAAGCCCGACTGCCACGTCAAGGTAGCAGTTACAGTCGAGTGTCTGTGAAATATCGTTAGACTTGTACTGTGCTGCAGAACTTCGTTCGTGATGTACTGCGGTAACCATAAGAATACTCATAAACGAGCCCACTTTCTGTATAAATAAGTTTATGAAGCCTATTACTTCGCTCCCGGTCTTCTAAACTCTAAAGTTACACCGGAGTTTCTCTATTTTTAATATTCATAACGATTGTTCTGTCCGTTAATTTCATTCTTATAGTAACATGTACGTAATTTTCTTGTTTTTTGCGTCCGGTTTATCAATTACTCGCTATTACGTTGGCCGGTGACACTAAACATACATACGTAAATACTTAGTTTGATTTCCATTCTTACTGTTGGTCACTTACAAGCGTTATCAGTATCATAGATCCAGATTCTTCACGAACAATGTTCCTTACAAAATTACGTGGTCTATATCCTTTGAGTGAGGTTGTGTACCAAGGTTAGTAGGCTAAGGACGAAACCTCATACTACGAAATATATTACTGGTATATTATTCGTGTTAATCTCGTCAAATACTGCCAACCTTACTATTAGAACTACTAATGTCGCCATGCTAACCTATCGCTAAAACAAAAAGACGGCTTCTGGAGATCCTAACATCTTTCTTGTCACAAACTTTTCACATATTTTCAGTGGTTACGATGTATTTCGGAAATCCTTTATGTACTCCGTTTTCTTATAAGTAATAGACACAATACTACGAGTTTTATCATTCTCAGCTATTTTAACTATTTTTCCTTAGCTATCTCATCGAAGTACTGGAAGGATACGTAAAAGGAATCAACTAGTAAAGTTAGCCAATGAATATGGTGTAACACTTCGACTTGCACCAACACTTATGTTGTCACGTACAAAAGTCAACAAAACCCGTGTCCATATACAAAAAGATGAACCTAAAAGTATTTTGTGGAGCATAGAATTTAGTCTTATGTCTCCAGAAGCTTCGGTTGTAACTTGTATTAATAGCCATTCAAAGTCAATACGTCTGGTTGTACATGATCAAGAGCAACTGACACGTTTATGTACTATATGGAACGACCACGTACTTAATGTATCATCTGAACAGCAAGATACGCTGATTACGCATTATCCCCCTAGTTCACCTCCTTTTGGAAAAATTTCGTCATGGTTACATTCCAAAACAAGTCCATCTTGTGATTCTACTACCAAGTTTTATTTCTATGTAAATGTCCAAGAAAATGGTGTTGAACAAGTAAACAAAGATATCAAAACAACAATAACTCTTCAGAATAATTATGTGGAAGTATTCTCAACGAAAAGATTGATTGATATACTAACAATACCTGGCTTTGTCATTCATGAAATGCCAACAATTTATGTCTCGAAGAAAGAGTTGAAAAATAAAAATGCTTACCAATAGGTTATTATTTATTTTTATCGCATATGATACGAGGTATTTATGCTTCCTAGTGTGCACATTCTCCTCGTTATTAGATTATAAATTAAGTTTACTTACATAATACTATTTCATTGTAATGCTTTCTGAATCGTCAACTGGTTTCAAAATCCCTAGAAAGCAACAAGTCCGTAAGCGACTAACCGCTTTAAGTTGATTCTGTCCGAAGAAAGAACCAAGCTCAGTTGGTAAAAAAGGTGACGTGGCATTTTCATAGCATGTCGGTAATTTTTATTTGGTCAGATAACTACGTTGGCGGTATTCGATAGGTTCTACTCTAATTAAACCATTCAGCATCGTCTACTGTTATTCATAGGACGCTTTAGTTACCATGACATGCAAATGTTTCACCAACTTCATCCTTTTTTGTACTAGAATAGTCTATACTTTACAGAAATAGTAAACTATTACAAAAGTTATTTAAACCCAGGAAATCGCTGTACAAACACCAAATTAAATACACCGCACAAATATACAGCTTATAATACGCAAAAGTGCCAAATACGTAGTGAGTGGAGAAATGTGACTGAAGCAATGGAATGGGAGTTTGTCGTGATTTCTACAGTATTATTATTTACAACCCTGGCGGTGGTGGTGTTGAACTACAATGATCAGTTTCTGTATTATCATCTGTATAAGGAACAAGAGGTTTAGACGACAAAATCTCAGTACCACTGTTAGTATTGATTGTATTCCATGCTTTTAGTGATGATTCTATATTATTTGCAGCAGCTGTTGTATTTTGATAAGCGGTACAAAATCTACCACTGTCCATAGAAATCTCTTTGTAATCTGGATCACTTGGTTCTTGTTGAGGTAATACACATGTTGCGTACGCATAAGCAGCATAGTCGTCTTTACCAGCACGTATCTCCGCCAATTGCGCGGCTACACACATGGCCGCCTTTTTAGCGGCTTCTCGCTCAGCCATAGCTTTGTCTGCGGCAGCTTGGGCTGCTACTGCTTGAGCTACATGCGCAGCAGCAAGTTCAGCTTGGATTAATGCATTGGCCAAGATATATCGTCCTTCAGATTGAGACCAATAATAATACATTTGATTCGTTGAATCATAGAAATAACCTCTTAGTGGGTCATAGTATAAAGCAGTTTCTGGGTCATAATATAATCCCGTAGTTGCTTCGTACTGTAATCGAGCTGACTCAGGTGGTGTAGAAAATCTGCGATCTCTCCTAATTTTATCCATGACATCGCTTTCTGTAGTATTGTGCGTACGAGCATAACAAGTTAAAGCAGCTTGATATATCGAACCTGAAGGCATGAGATCAGAAATACGACTACTCAGATGCAATGCACAAACTTTGACCTGTTTTGAACCCATCGCTTCTTTATCACGAAGGGCCTCTCTAATTGATACTTTAAGTGATTCTGAGTGCAAGTCTTCTTCATTGGATCTATCTTCTTCATCACTTTCATTAGTATTGTGCTTATGTTTTACACCTGTTTGCGTTGTTACATATATGTTAGATTTCATTGTCTTTTGTGGATTCCATAAGACAGGCTGAGCTAAAACTAATTCGCCACCGATTTGCTTCCATTCCGACCAGTTGAGATTAGTTGGCGGTGGATTTATGGGACGATGATGCATTGAACGTTGACAACCAAGAAAATCCAGATTTTCGGCGGCCCATACCTATATCCATTAAGTAACGAAACGATAAGATTTAATTAATGCTTTGGTAAATTTACGTAATAAGGTGAAATGATTTGGTGACATACATTTTGGTCTCATTAATACAGTAAAGTATATGCAAAAAAACATCAAGGTTAAGATTTTCCCATGAGAACAGTTCGATATAAATTATCCCTGTGCCATCTGTTTAAAATTGTTCTAAGACATAATTTTTATGAGTGGGTTGTGTGAAGATACATCACTAATACGTTTGTAATCATTTTCAGGGATATATCTAATCTATATAGCAAGCTTGTGCTTTGTATAAACATTTTAGAGAAAAGGCAAGTAAGAGAAAATAACCCTTACTCCTAATTGAGGAGCACTACATCGTAAAACACTAATGTCACTGTTGAGACAGGAGTGATATTATCGCTGTATAATTTAGCGATCTTAATTTTCTACTTCACACTCCAAGGAGTTATTAGGGGATGAAAATCTAATGCACAAACATCCTGTAAAACCCAGTAGTATAAACATGATTGAGTTAAGCGAACAGAATTTTTTTAGATATCTTCAGATGTATGCATAGTCTAGGTTGTAAACGTTTCCAAAAACCTAACAGCTTGTAATAAATATACAATAGAAGCTAAAATTTAGTATGGGCGTACATCATAATGGTGAGTCTGTTTAGTGCATACAACCAAACTACGAAGTCTTCATGTAAAAATACCTATAAAGGAGAAGGCTTGATAAAATAAGATACCAAGAAATGTGCGAAACGAAGCAAGATGCCAGATTAGAGAGAAAAGAGAAAATCTATACGAAAAACATGTATTAAACAAAGCACTGAGTAAAAATACCCAGGGCCATTTTAAGGTTTACGAAAAACATTATAGATTCATAATAGCATTGCTGCTAACTTTTATTTCAAGTCTTTCCCAGCAATGTCTTTGTGCACCATCTAAAGGTGAATCATCAGGATGTAATCGCTAACTTGGAATCCGGAAGGGAAGCGAAAAATAGGAAAGCCAAAGAACACATTACGCCGGGAGATTGAAGCGGATATGAAAAGGACGAATAACAACTGGAAAGGATTGCCCAGGACAGAGTTGGATGGAGAATGCTGGTAAGCGGCCTATGCTCCTCCACGAGGGGTAACAGGTATATATCACATAAAGGCACATGAGTGAAAAGTGGATGTAAAGTCAATTCAATTATCCTTTATGTCAGAATGATGCGTCAAAAATTAGAACACTTTTTCCAATTAAATCTTTATCAGGCTTTAATATATAATAATATTTATACGCATATATGAAATTATCATATAAATCAAGAAAGTCGGTGATAACAGTGGAATAGATTACATAAATGAACAGCACAAATCGATAGCGTCATGACAGATGTATTCGTTATGACAATAATAATAAGGGCTTGAACCAATATTTCGTCATAAAAAGTGGGTCAATAACTTGGAATAATATTCGTCAAAAATTACGTAAGAAGTGTCCAGATAATTAGACAGTGAAGAGCATATTTGCAAAGAGGTAAAGAAAAAATAATAAGCAGAATCGTTTACTAAAACTAATTCGTTCAAGGATGGAATAAGAGTGTCACGAATTTCTTATGAACACAAAGACTTGGATTGTCAGTTGGAATCCCTATAGCTTCTGCAATATATAAGCGACGAGACCGAACCGCATAAAGAAGACTAGTAGGCATACTATAGATCATTTTAATGATCTGTTACCTACTAATACATAAACACTATCCGTCAAGTTATATAAAACTTGGCTGTGTATTGTTTTAATGAAACCCCTTCCTAACCGCGAAGCTAAGATAATAAAAGTGTAACTAATGTAAAGGCAACAAAAGTCAAGCTTATCAATAGCCTACTTGAGGTTTAGGCCAAGCGATAGAGCCTCTTAACTACTCAAATCCAACGTAACAATGAAAATTTATGAACGTATCGCCTTGGGTTCATAGAGAGCTTATATTTGACGTTCAAGTGATTTCACTAGTTTTGTCCCTAATTTCTGGGATCTACTTTTACTACAATGTCAACATAATCTATAAATTGTGATTTTATTTTCAGTGGCAGATTATCGACAGTAAGATTTCCTATGCAAAAGGTTTCTTTCCAGATCAATTGACGGTTCTAGAATTAGGATAGACTTTGTTCTGGCGCTAAGATTTCTAATAAGCTTTGAAATATCTACCCGTTTGTACGCAATAATTAATAACTTCCAACGAAGCTTTCGCTTATAAAAGACGGGGATTAAACTTTAAGAGCTCATTGAATACCTTAAATGCAATCAGATCCCCATGTGACTTTAAAATCACCACACCATCAATTTTTACCTTTTACTTATCGTCTATTTATGTAATCTATCCCACTGTGATCAGTGACTCATAAAATGCCTTGATTGATTTAATAATTCCATATATGCATATTAAATATTCTTGTATATTAGAATAGGGTCTGATAAGGTTCGAATTACAAACATTATTCTTCACCTATGTTGTTCTAATTCACAATGTGGGGATTTTTGGAAAGTCAAAAATTGTCTATTATCTCGTGCTTTTTATACAATGAGGCTACCAACAAATAATGTGAGGTATGGGAGCCGCTAGGATAACATAAAACGTACCCAAGCCATTAATATTAGTATTTTAGGATGGTAGTACCTATAGAATTGTTATTCATTATCCTAAAGCTGTCACAGAGGTGAAGTCGGCCATCACTTCTCTTTTGTTTAGACTATGAAAGAGTACTTTATCGGGTACCTAAAAGTGAGACTGAGTTAAAAGTACTTTTTGACAGCCCGAAAGCGTAAGCTCACTACCAAAAGGACAAATGCACAAGACTGGCTACACATTACTTTTGTGTGAATAGTTTCAGGTAAATTAGCTCCGTACTTTTAAGAACTTGTTGCTAAAGGCAGAAATCTATATAGCAAGGTGAGGTAAACGGTTTTCAAAGTCGACCTTATCTAACTTCCTCCTTTCGTTGTGGGGAGGCAGTACCGCTGTAGATGTTAAGTTTCTGAAGAAAGAACCTTACTGCCATCTTACTCCCATACAGCCGATAGTACAACTTTGAATCATGAGTTTACTGCTTTTAGTCTTACTGCTCTTCGAACAGCTTATCAGACATGGCAACACCTAAGGAAACGGGTATTCCAACCAATACAGTCCGGTCGGGTCATCACAATATCCAAGTTTGAGCACCACGTCAAGGTGACAGTCATGGTTTGGTTTTGCCAAATCACATTGTGGGATCTCAGCATTACAGAAATGGTGCCATCATAGGACGTTAGCAATCGTCGGGAGACAACGATGAACAGATTAAGACAGTAAACACCCTCAGCCCAGAAATGTCAAGTTTTACGAGTATGTGGTACGATTGCTCACGCTAATACGTAAACTTGACTTGCATCGACAATAATATCTTTTAAGAGCATAAAAACTATTGCTTTTGAACAATACATGGATATGACGATGATACTAATCAGTTAATGCACTTCATATTACATTGTATTGAAATGCAACAATGAAAACTGATTTTACGAAAATTGTAAGCTGAAAAGGGAATTTTTAAACTAACACGTTGTAAACCTGATTTAAATCCAATTTTAGCTCGGAAATCGCCTGATTTATCCCATAAAACTGGCCATTTTGTGATTCGATTAACTTGCTTACACCAACTCCGTACTTCATCTGCTGGGCCCCATGTAACAACTGCGTATCCAACGTTGAACTGTGATAGGTCACACTTTAAAAAAGAAGTTTGAAATTACTTACATAAACATAAAATCAATTTCGTTACACAGAGAGCAAAGAAATAGTACAAAATGTAATTAATTTAAACAAACTATCTAAAATAAATAGAAAAATAGTACATTACATCTAAAAATTATGGAGTTAAGACTTACCATGACGTCTAAACTGATACGATTGAGGCATAAATGCCTTCATTTCGACGTCGATGTTAGTATACCACTAGATCACAACTTCTTGGAACGAAGTATATTAGTATAACCAAAAAGATGTATTTTGAAAGTTGAATTCCAAACAATGAAAAGCGAAGTTTCAACAGAGGTAAAATCAACTAACCTAGACGATTAATTACATAGGATATCAGTTAAGGTAGCTTTGTTAAGACTGACCAATTTGAAAAGCTTATAAACAAAGTTCTACCAGTTTGATAGTAGTTTTCGTCACGGACCGAAATCTGTTAGGAAACCAATCGAAAACAGATACTGGGTGACCGTTTTGTTTTATCTGGAGGCCTTCTACAGGCATGAGCCCACAACATATCGAACCCGCGACTCACGTCTCTTGATCAGCTCCGTAACACTTAATCACTAAGTCCCAGTGAAATCGTTCGCGTTTTGAAATGGTCCAAATCTGGATAGAACTCAACTATCATCCAATATAACTGAGCGTTAACTGCTAAACTCGCAAGCCGACTGAATTTGGAGATATAAACCATTAGAATAAAACTTAGTAGTTTAAAGGTGATAGGTTAATTACAAGGATTGAACATCATGTGTTTGGTCTCTGAAGGGTTTGTGTACACACATTAGCTAGAACAAAACGTCTGTCCACCTAAGTTTTTGATGGTTTTTCAGCTGATATTAGTCTGAACTACCATTGAATTCAACTAATTTCTGCAAACCACTCAACCAAATGAAAGAAGTACCGTATGAAGATCAACTGAGAATCAAGTCTACTATATACTATTTTACCATACTTTGAAAATTTTGACAGCTAGTACTATCAACATCCTTTCAGATCGAATACAAATATTGAAGACTAGTGGAAAGTATGTATCTTTATTAGTTGATATAAGTTAGCAGGATTTCTAATTAAAACGTTTCGAATTCCACTGAAAAAGTAATGAGCAGTAGAACATCTGCCTGACAGACAGCCTCTTGAAAATTACGTAGTGCGAGGATTATATTTTGTGAAATCATATTCCTTGAAGTACTAAAACCAATAGTAGAGGATAAACGCTACTGAAAGCAAAACTGTCGTGGAGTTTTAATTATTTAAACACATAAATATTGATACAAGGAGGAAACAGATATATATGCGCCACACAAATCTCATTCGATTTGTGTGGGGGCTGTGATACCCAGGTGTCCAAAAAGAAGCAGATGGTTTTCTTAGGGGGCCACACCCGGAGCCTTTGACATAGAGGCCTGATCCACAAGGCAGTGGAGCATCATTAGGAGATGCAGTCCCATGGTAGCCGGTGACCAACGATTGATTCATATGCCATTCGTTCCCTCAAGATCCTGGAGCCCATGTGCACCATTGGCTTGGAATCAGGGTTTTCCAACTCCTCTAGGTGAACTTTTCGTGTCCACCAACCCGATTAAAGCGCCGGACATTCGCTTTTTGTCCTCTCAATTTCGTAAACAACAGTAATTTCACGAGAAGACAGTTAGTAAGACTTTTCTGTCAGAGGCTATATACGCGTGGCCATGCGAGAGTGTTTCGAGAGGGAGGGTGGATTCACCCCACTCTCGGCCGTACCAGGGCATTTGGGAGCACCAGGGTGCTTGGTACCTGTGTGGTTGCGTCACAGGATTGAGCTGTACTGTTTGGGTTGCCGCGTGAAAGTCTGGATGGTGTCTGGTTTTCCTGAAAATCAGTGCAAAATTACCCTGGCCCATAAGGGTATATTATATATAACTGTCGTAGAGTAGATACATGAAGTCATTGATTGCTTAATTATTTATTTATTTGGAAAAACAAACATTGGTACAAGGGAGGCACCAAATACATATGCGTCACACAATAAAAAGGAGGCCAGTAGCAGTTATCACTGATATGTGTGAGGGCTGTAATACTGCCCGGGTGTCCAAAAAGAAGCAGATGGTTTTCTTAGGGGGCCACACCCGGAGCCTTTAACATAGAGGCCTGATCCACAAGGCAGTGGAGCATCGTGAGGAGATGCCGTCCCATGGTAACCGGTGACCAACAATAGGTTCATACGCTATTTGTTTCCTCAAGATACTGGAGCCCATATGCACAATTGGTTTGAAATCAGGGTTTTTCAACTCCCCTAGGTGGATCCTTCATATCCACTAACCCGACTAATGTGCCAGACATTCGCTTATCGTCCTCTCGATTTCTTAAAAATCAGCCCTGCCACGAGAAGGTAGTGAGTAGGATTTCCCTGACAGTAGTTGTATACGTGTGGCCATGTGAGTGCATTTCGAGAGGGAAAGCGGACTCTCCTCACCCTCAGCCGTACCAGAGCATTTGGGGCTATTGATTGTTAGTTGTAGTCATATAATCACGTTCATATTTCTTGTTTGGATTCAGTGTGATGATCGTAACCAATGTTAAAATTTCAGGTAATAGGTGAAAATCGGTTACTGATGTGGATCGTGGTAACTTGGGTCTATGTATGTTAATACCACGTCTCAAATCGATTGACTGTCTGATTTTCAGTAGTTCTAAGTCTGATATCGGTAAGAAATGAAGACAATGGTCAAACTAAATATTATATTATTACTCAAAAGGATGTCAGTTTGCCGTAACCAATTCTCATGACTATGAACAGTAGCTCAACGCGTCGTATTAACGACAATAATAATCGCTTTGTTCAGTTGTATGTTTGGTACAATTCTTAATACAACGTTCAAACAAAATCACTTTATTTTATTTAGACTATATATATATATATATATATATATATATATATATATATATATGACAGAATTTTGAATGTTGATCGACAACCATATTCATAATGAACTTAAAAGGTTTACTACTCACTAAACTAGTTGTTTTTAGCACTCTATGAAACACAGAGAAACCCCTCGAATGTTCAAAAACAAGAAATGGCTAAGGTAATAGGTGATACATAATAAACCACCAATCGTAAGATCAAGTAATGTCAAAAACATGTAGCCTCTACGTAATAAAAACCTAATGACCTAACTTGACGTCCGCTTTATTAATACACTATTAAATCGACAATGTGATCCAGATCACTATGGATACAAATGTTATAAGAAAAACGGAGTTCCTAGTCAATCAGTCAGTGATACGAAATGTAAGACCTGGCACATATGTACATAGGTAGTAGTAAGTGTATGTGGCTACTGAAATACACTAATGGTAAATCTGACAGCGAAACGTTTTCTGTGGCGTTACTCTAAAAATATTGTTATTCGTAAAACCATTAATTTTGAAGTGATAAATTTACCTGGGCTTTTGATACCTCTGAATAACGCCAACGAACAGCAGTATCTGGCCAGTATGCAGGTTGACAGATGACTACAAGGCACATGTGTTTTTGGACAAAATCTTGTAAGTTAACCTCGCGATTGGTTTGCCAGTCAATAAGTGGTAATGATGGTAAGAATAAGTAATCACATCCCAAATCAGAAAGGTTCTCAGGTCTAGATATTGAGTTAACTCCATTACTTTCATGCTCATCACGCGTAACCTCCTTATCAAGATTAACTAGAAAATTTCTCCAGTTTCCTTCAGTTTCTTCAATTGCATCTTGAGTATCTTGAATTTCTTCGCAGTCGGAAAATTTAGAAAATAATCTTTCTAATCCATCTCTTGACTTTACACCTAACTTTTCATACATATCCGCATAAGAGTCAACACCTCTAAACATGACACTAATTCCTGTCTCCGCAAATACTTTGGGATTCGACTGGGCTTTTCGACGTGCACCCTGTAAGATATCGTCCAATTCTCGCGCACAATGACGTACTGATATTACGACATTACGCTCTTCATCTGTTAGTTCTCTTTCTTGCTTTGCCCGTTTCATGGAATAAAAGAGTATAATCCTAAAAAAATTACGTGAAATCTATAGCCCCTTTGAATGATACAGAGTGCATCTGAACAAAAATTATCTTTGTACGTACAAAATCTTTTGTTTCTACTCAAGTATAACTGCTGCAACTCATTTGATCTTTGGTACATTACCTTCTTGGTAGTTAATATGATTGACTCATAAAATGGCAAGTTAGCGACAAATTAGTGATGAAGCTAGTTCGTCTTTACTCAAGAAGAATAATATATTATGGACTATGTTGATAGCCACTCTGGTAAGTTTCGAGAAGATTGCAGAAGATATGTATAAAAAAATACTGAAGTTTTCGAGTAAGACAAAGAGTGAATACATCTGGAGACACTGTAACTCATTATGCGCCGTGACCCATCTGCAATTACGAGTCACAATTATCGAGCGGATGCCAACTGGTTAGTCTGCACTTTCGATGAGTCAACCAACAGTTAGTGACTTCGCGGAAAAGTGCCACAGTTGATTCGACAGCTCTTGGCTTTATTCCAACTTACTACTACTCCAACCGACATTGACCGTCGAGTTCCGTGGTGGTTGGTTATGAATGATATCTCCCAACTACTCCAGTTTGTGAAGACACACAGCCTAATCAACTGGTTCGCCTTGTCTGCTTAGTACCCCGCGAGATGATAGCAATCGATGGTTAGAGACCTTGAATGACATGGCTCAAAATCGTTTGCAATGGCGAAAGTGCATCCACTCTTTGTGTTCTACCAACTTCTAATCTACTGAATTCCTCATGCCTCTATCTTTTTCTCTTTCCAAATTCACTGTATTATTCTCCTTCAATAACTTCTTCAAACCCTAATCTTTGACATAATGCTTATACTCTTACTACTTCTACCAATATGGGATTTGAATCGACAACTTCATCTCTGTGCTAATGTGGTATGGCAACTCGAACAGATGTACGTACGAAGTTCTATGTTGTGACTGACTGACCCTGTATCTAACCCCAAGACTCTTTACTCTGCTGCTCCATGATAAGTGATCAATGCTTTGAAGACACCCGTGATTAAAGTCCTGTAGCGATATACTATTACAGAGCGGGTTGCTGAGCTGCAAACATATACCATGGTTGGTAAACGGACACCCCACCTGTACCACAAGTTACAGGATGTCGATAATGTTAGATCTAATTAGCACAATCATAGGTATATTGAACCTAGCATATTGACAGCATATCACAAGAGTTGTACGTGGATCCACAGATTCTAAAGTGTTTTATATGATGGACAAAGAACTATGAAAAGTTGTGATATCTTTATAATGAATAAGAAAAGCTCCTTCATCAGTGTTAATGGTGGACGACACAGACATAACTGAAAGTATTTATTTATTCTGCCAAGATTTACACATTAAAAAGCCAACATCGCTCAAAAACTTACTGATTTGTCTTCGCAAGTTATGTAAAAAAACCGAACATAAGGTCAATAATCAAATAGAGCGGAATATAATATTAATTGTCCAATGATATTACTCAATGCAAAGCAGGTGATAAATTTAGTCACTGACCCACAGAAAGTTATCGAACAATATGGAAGGTAAAATTTTATATATAAAGTGGTTTTCGATTCACTTGAAAATTATCTTCTCATTAGCCTATATAGTAGGCTTGTTATGAGTTCAAAAACCTTTATATAAAGAACGCTTCAGTTATCTGGACAATAACCTCAGCATATTTACAAACTACAGCAGTTTTAAGGACGGATACTCATGTCTTAGAAAGCGTCTAGCGACATGGGAGAGCTGGTGTGACACGGAAGTTGCCCATCAAACTTGTTTCTCAAAGTCCATAAAATTGTTGGCAAATTATTCTAGACCGTGGAGCAATTTAGGCCAAATTTTGGGAATAGAAGTTAACTAATTTTATAGAGTAAGAGCTACCTAATGGAATGATAGTAAAAAAATGTAAGTATGTGAGTACTGATCCACCAAACGAGGTGCAAGTGCTCAAGGAACTCTAGCTCCTGAAGTAACACAAATCAGCAGGCCCAAAAGACTTACATAGGACGTTTTTTATAGATGGTGGTGACCCTCTGGTTAAGAAACTGACCGAGTTGTTTACAATGGTCTGGTAGTTGGAGGATGCTTTGACATCATGGAATTGGTCGATTATCGTTCCTCTTTTTAAAAAGGGTCCACATTTTTTCTGCCACAACTATCGTGAGGTAAGTCTATGCCCGATAACGTCCAAACTATCGGCCTTCGACATCCTTCGTGGATTGTTCAAAACCCGAGAAATAATTGACTTGAGAGGAGAAGGCTGGTTTTCATTCTCGTCAGGGAGGTACTAATTATCTCACCCTCCGCCAAATGTTAGAACACCGTCATACTTAGCAAAAGCCAACAATCGTAGTGTTTCTTGATATCAAGGCTGCCTTAGATTTGTCTGATAGGGCTATTCTCTGGGATTGTCTTTTGATAAAGTGTGTGCCTGAAAAGTTTAATGACATCCTAAAAGCTCTATATGCAAGCACCTCAGGCAGCGTGGGGGCATACAATCGCCTCTCTCCATTGTTCCATTCAAGCAGTTGGGTTGGACAAGATTGCTCAATCTCTCCATCCCTCTTGAGTTTTGCCATCGATGACATTCTGGAAACAGATCTGATGGATGTAAGTAACGGCGGTGTGGATCTGTTGGCTGAAGAAAGACCTCTCAACCTTGAGTATGCGGATGATATTGTCTTTTTGTGTGATGATACTCAAGCTATGCAAACCTCACTTAATCAGTTGGCAATCAGTGTCCATAGGTATGGTATATGCTTTGCACCTCCGAAGTGCAAAGTACTCCCACGAGACTGGAAGAATTCCAATCTTGTACTCACCCTGGGTGGTGAGCGGATAGAAGTAGTCGAGAAGTTCGTGTATTTAGATAGCCGCACAAGTTCTGGTGGTGGCGTGAGTGATCAGATCAGTTCACATGTAATCAAAGCCAGAACAATTGATGCTAATCTGGACCATCTTTGATGCCTTCGTGATGTTAGTCTGACTGCAAACGGTCGGATCTACAATGCATCAGTAAGAGCAGTTTTGCTCTATGCTTGTGAAACCTGGCCTCTCCGAGTTCAAGATGTTAGACGTCTCTCTGTGTTTGATCATCGTTGTCTCCGAAGGATTACTGACATCCAGGGCAACACCATGTCAGTAATGCAGAGGTCCAACATCGTGTGTTCGGGCGCAGAGACGATAACTCAATTGGTGTCACCATCTTGAAACACTGACTTCGGTGGCTTGGACATGTTCTACGAATGTCGTCCCAGAGACTTCCACGTCGTGCATTATTTGCCGACTCTGGGACTGGTTGGAAAAAGCGGAGAGGTGGTCAGTGTATGACATGGTGTGGTGGTATGAAAGAAAGCTGCAAAGGGCTGGCTTCTGTTGGACCTTCGCGACTCCCTGGCTGGGGTCCTGGGGATAGTACAACACAGTGGCTAGGGGCGTGGCTCAGAATAGAAACCAGTGGCGATCCTGCCATAACTTTACTTTCTCCATGAAAAATATACTTAACTTCTTTGACTGAAAGAATTCCTTTTGGTTGTACCTGTTATATCCCCTGGTGAATCATGAATGGTAAATCTGAGGTCTATTATGGACAAAGGTAATATGCCTAATTCCTATTGTTTAGTTGTTAAATAACTGACCTAATTGTATTCGTGTTCCTCTTACCGTAACCTTATTTTGACCTTTGAACTATTATTATTGATTACTTTCCCCCTATCCACAGCCACATTGGCCAATTATTGTACAAATATTATTTTTCTATTTTTTGGTATAATTGGGTCTGTTTGGTTAGTATATATAACCCAGTGTGCTTGTGAATAAGGATTCATATTTCCGAGGCTGTTATTTGTGTTCTGGACTCAACTGGCTGGGCTAGGCAGTTAGGAAGGACCGAATAGCAATCAAGACTGCTCGTACGTATTTTCCGTATCATTGCACGTTTCATATACAATAACGATTGTTATACGTTTATAACAATTGGCGACGGGGACAAAAGTGAAAAATGACGCTCCCTTCTGACCGCTTACAGTTGCTCTTTGACCGACATTTGGAGTTCATGGTCAAACTACGTACACAGTTTCTGGATCATCAATGCTTCACATATGCGTCAGAAGTGGATGTATTAATCTCTGAATTGCACACAGAGCTAGCAAATGATCGCAGCCCCCATGATTCCTCGACCAGCCGCAACTCAAACGAAACAGCAGTCTCTCAAGAGACGCCCGGTTGTCCAGCACTCTCCATTTCAGAAACGTGCCCGGTAGTGGATTCAAACACCACTATCCCTGAATTAGCAGGTCCTAACAATGACGCTTTCAGCTCTCATCAATACGATGCTATGTTAAAAGCCCATAAAATGGTCGCACCAATCGCCCACAGAGTACCAGAGATCATATCAAGCGGTTCAACGAGCGAATCTCATTCTGCAATAGAAATGTCTACCGAATCTAGTGATAAAGATTCCCAAGCTTGTCCAGAAATTTTGTTACATGCATCAAATCTGGAACCTAGCGCAGTTTTGGTGGACGCTGTTTATCATACTGATCCACAACCTGCCATTGATGTTTGCAATAAGTCTGATGACTACATTTCTGCAGAATCAAATTCTGACCTCACATCAAATGTCGATCCTCACCATCCAGTCAATCTTAACGGGTTCCCTATGGAAAACCAGAAACATGTTATAACTAGAATCGCATTAATAGAAACTTGGGTATATGAGGATCCAACACTATTTCGTGGGGGAGGAGGAGCTCGAAAAAAAAAATTAAAATCCGGATATCAACTCCGGATTTCTCAAAAAGGGGAGGTGTTATATCCCCTGGTGAATCATGAATGGTAAATCTGAGGTCTATTATGGACAAAGGTAATATGCCTAATTCCTATTGTTTAGTTGTTAAATAACTGACCTAATTGTATTCGTGTTCCTCTTACCGTAACCTTATTTTGACCTTTGAACTATTATTATTGATTACTTTCCCCCTATCCACAGCCACATTGGCCAATTATTGTACAAATATTATTTTTCTATTTTTTGGTATAATTGGGTCTGTTTGGTTAGTATATATAACCCAGTGTGCTTGTGAATAAGGATTCATATTTCCGAGGCTGTTATTTGTGTTCTGGACTCAACTGGCTGGGCTAGGCAGTTAGGAAGGACCGAATAGCAATCAAGACTGCTCGTACGTATTTTCCGTATCATTGCACGTTTCATATACAATAACGATTGTTATACGTTTATAACAGTACCTTTGTTAACTGAACTGCTTCCCCCACTATTATTATTTCACTATAATACACTAAATTTTGTTCGTTATTGTTACCCTTTTTCTTATACGCACCTTACATTCTCATTGTTATTGTGTGGTTCATATGTACCTAGTGTCTGTTCTCATCATTATTTATGTGTTAAAATAAATAACTAAGTACTGTATTGCCTTAACGTTAATGTTATTTTAAAAATAGTAGGGATAATTTGTACTTAGAAGCTTTGGATTTTCCATATTGTGTGGTCTGATGGATTTTATAAATGGTTTTTCGAAAACTTAGATTAGATTTTTCTATTCAGAATCTTGCTCTGAGGGTAACTTCTGACATTTGGAACAAGCTCAACGTACGCGCTTTCCCAAGGTCACAGTC